AAATAAACAAATAGTTCTTACACAACTGATTGCAGCTAAACGAAATTGGCCCTAATTACAGCTATACTATAGTTAATTAACTAGAAAGAAGTGTCAACTTCTTGTGTTAAATCGTGGAACACGATACGCCACCGAAAGCCTTCCAACTAAATAAACAAATGGTTCTTATAACTGATTTCAGCTAAACTAAAGTAGCCCTGATTACAACAATTCTATAGTTGAAAACTGAAAATTATGCATTCCACAGAAAAAATGGTTATACTATTCAAAAGGCTTCAACTAAATAAACAAATAGTTCTTACGCATAACTGATTTCAAGCTAAACTAAAGTAGCCTGATTACAACAATTCTATAGTTGAAAACTGAAAATTATGCATTTCCACAGAAAAATCATTGAAACACGATACCGAAAGCCTTCGTTGTCGTCTGGAGAACTAATTTTCCATAATTGACAGGTTGACATGATAAGGACATGATGGCTTAATTACTCATTTCCGTTTCCGGTTATTCAATGGCGGGTCTTTTCAGTTCAAAATGTATTTTGTATTTTTTTCTTTCATAAATAAACCAAAAAATTATTACATAACTGATTTCAGCTAAACTAAAGTAGCCCTGATTACAGCAATTCTATAGTTGAAAACTGAAAATTATGCATTTCCGCAGAAAAAATGGTTACATACTATTCAAAAAGGCTTCCAACTAAATAAACAAATAGTTCTTACATAACTGATTTCAGCTAAACTAAAGTAGCCCTGATTACAGCAATTCTATAGTTGAAAACTGAAAATTATGCATTTCCGCAGAAAAAATGGTTACATACTATTCAAAAAGGCTTCCAACTAAATAAACAAATAGTTCTTACATAACTGATTTCAGCTAAACTAAAGTAGCCCTGATTACAGCAATTCTATAGTTGAAAACTGAAAATTATGCATTTCCGCAGAAAAAATGGTTACATACTATTCAAAAAGGCTTCCAACTAAATAAACAAATAGTTCTTACATAACTGATTTCAGCTAAACTAAAGTAGCCCTGATTACAGCAATTCTATAGTTGAAAACTGAAAATTATGCATTTCCGCAGAAAAAATGGTTACATACTATTCAAAAAGGCTTCCAACTAAATAAACAAATAGTTCTTACATAACTGATTTCAGCTAAACTAAAGTAGCCCTGATTACAGCATTTGTAAATAAACACACGTAACTGCATTTCCGCAGAAAAATGGTTACATACTATTAAAAGGCTTCCAACTAAATAAACAAATAGTTCTTACATAACTGATTTCAGCTAAACTAAAGTAGCCCTGATTGCAGCAATTCTATAGTTAACTGAAAATTATGCATTTCCGCAAGAAAAATAGTTTACATACTATTCAAAAAGGCTTCAACTAAATAAACAAATAGTTCTTACATAACTGATTTCAGCTAAACTAAAGTAGCCCCTGATTACAGCAATTCTATAGTTGAAAACTGAAAATTATGCATTTCCACTGCAAGAAAAATGGTTACATACTATTTAAAAAGGCTTCCAACAAATAAACAAATAGTTCTTACATAACTGATTTCCTTCTAACCTAAAAAGCCCTGAAAACAGTAATTTTTATATACTAAAATTAACAATGTGAAAATATCAATAGGGTATAAAAATATAAATATACTGTTTAAAAAAGCGTCCATTATTCCAAAGAGGGATTATTAATCAAAAGAAGCAAAAAAGACTTTAGTCGGATAACATAATCAGATTATCAGTCCGATTTATTGCATTATTGACGATAAATCGCACATACTATTCAAAAAGGCTTCCAACTAAATAAACAAATAGTTCTTACATAACTGATTTCAGCTAAACTAAAGTAAGCCCTGATTACAGCAATTCTATAGTTGATAACGAATGTTGGCTATAGTTAAAAAATGATCTTACCTTATTAAATTGCTTCCATTTTCAGAAAAAATCGCCGATCAAAGATATTATAACACCATTTTCTTTGCATCTAAAAAATGTAAAAACAGTGTTTATTTATCACCTATTTTTTCATATACATGGGACATACCTACTACTGCAGAAACGTCATTTTCTCTCCAGGATTCAAAAAAGACTTCCAACTAAATAAACAAATAGTTCTTGTAACTGATTTCAGCTAAAACTAAAGTAGCCTGATTACAGCAATTCTATAGTTGAAAACTGAAAATTATGCATTTCCGCAGAAAAATGGTTACATACTATTCAAAAAGACTTCCAACTAAATAAACAAATAGTTCTTACGCAACTGATTTCGAAAGCTAAACTAAAGTAGCCCTGATTACAGCAATTCTATAGTTGAAAACTGAAAATTATGCATTTCACAGAAAAAATGGTTACTACTTTATTACCATTACTATTTAAAAATTTCAGCCGAAATATGAATTGAACTATTCAGGAAAACGAAACCAAACGGAATGAATTAAAAATCGAATATTTTCGAATTTGTTCTAGAACAAATCTGAAGTTGTCTCTGAAAACTGAAATCTGTCAATTCTAAACTGTGAAGTTAGACAATAGTTAGACAAAAAAATGCTGTCCTTGTCTATTCAAAAGGCTTCCAACTAAAATAAACAAATAGTTCTTGCCATAACTGATTTCAGCCAAAACTAAAGTAAGCCTGATTACAGCAATTCTATAGTTGAAAACTGAAAAGTATGCATTTCCCGCAGAAAAAATAGTTACATACTATTCAAAAGGCTTCCAACTAAATAAACAAATAGTTCTTACATAACTGATTTCAAGCTAAACTAAAGTAGCCCTGATTACAGCAATTCTATAGTTGAAAACTGAAAATTATGCATTTCCGCAGAAAAATGGTTACATATATTCAAAGAGCACCAACTAAATGACAGGAATGACACTAATGACTGTTTCCAATTTTCCTATTTCACTGTCACCCCCTGGCTATACTAAAGTTGAAAAACTCAAAAACGATGCATTTCCGCAGAAAAATGTTTGTGTTCAAAAAGTGGAGTCTTTAAAAAAATAAAGTTGACGATGGTTCCAGAAAAACGAAACGTCCCAAGTGATTTTTGACGTTACCAAAGAATATATATAAGAATATATATATATATATATATATATATATATATATATATATATATATATATATATACTATATATATAAGTTGTTATATATATATATATATATATATATATATATATATATACAACATATATACAGGGTGTTTTCTACGATGTTCTCTATAGGTATCTCGAAAACTACTGGAGATAGAGAGTCGGTTAAATGGGGAAAGAATTGCAGTTTTGTAGGGTCATAAATATGCGCCTTTCAGATTTTTGAAAAAGTTCATGGCTTACTAGATATTTCGAAAAAAACAAATTTCGGCTATTTTAAAAATTGTCCCTAATTCTAAGCTATTTTAGACGAAAAGTTTTCGGATAAAAGTTGTAGATAATCACATTCTTTATGAGACTGTGCCCTCCGTTTTCTTCTATAGCCTGTCATTTTTGACATATGACACAAACATGTGTTTTTTTAAATGGAAACCATAGTTGGCCATGACTTAATAAAAAGCGCCATTTTTTAAGCTTTTCAGCGATATAGCTATAATATGTTTTCTTCGAAAAATTACTGAGTTATAGCCAATTTTTATAATTGTTAAACAATTTCACTTAGTTAGCCATGGAAACAAGTTCAATCGTCGTTGCTCTCGAGTGGCGGTACTAGAGAAGTTTAATTAAGTCGACCCGTCCTTTTATGAGAATAGGTAGAAATTCAGATTTAAAAAGATACTACTCACAATAATGGCGGAACATTTTCTAAAATAACTTAAAGTGTATGCAATGATATTGTTTTTTTAAGTTTTAGTTTGTTCAATGTAAATTGTAAGGAACCGTTTAGTAATATATTGTGACTTTTTATAAGTTATAAATCATAACAGAATAAGAATACCATGCAATCTAATTGAAATTAGTCAAAAAAGATAAGAATTGGCTATAACTAAATTTAACTTTCCTAACATGTCTTGAAAACCCTTCTCTAAAAAACGTAACATTCACCGGTCAACGTATCCTCGAAAATGTATGGTCAAGAAAAGTTGAACCAATAATACTACACGCTTTTCTTCATTGGAAAAATTCATATTCACAATTTTTGGTAATTTTAATTTACGAAGTTTGGATGTGACAGCTTCACATTTCTAAGAGCAAAGGCGATTAAACTTGTTTCCATGGCTAACTAAGTGAAGTTGTTTAAAAATGATAAGACTTGGCTATAACTCAGTAATTTTTCGAAGAAAACATATTATAGCTTATATCGCTGAAAAGCTTAAAAATGGCGCTTTTTATGAAGTCATGGCCAACTATGTTTTCCATTTAAAAAAACATATGTTTGTGTCATATGTCAAAAATGACAGGCTTTAGAAGAAAACGGAGGGCACATTCTCATAAAGGATATGATTATCTACAACTTTTATCTGAAAACTTTTTGTGGAAAATAGCTTATAATGGAATTAGAAACAATTTTTAAAATAGCCGAAATTTGTTTTTTTCGAAATATCTAGTAAGCCATGAACTTTTTCAAAAATCTGAAAGGCGTATATTTATGACCCCACAAAACTGCAATTCTTTCCCCATTTAACCGACTCTCTATCTCCAGTAGTTTCCGAGATACCCATAGAGAACATCGTAGGAAACTCACCCTGTATATAAAACTCTTTGGAATTGAAAATTTCTTTGCGAATGTCTTTATAGATTTTTTCTAACTTTTAACACATATATATTATGTTATCTGTGCTTTTAAAATAAACTCGAGTCAAATTTGAAACATAATAGTCTCATAATATGAAGGTTTCTCCGAAGACTGGGCCACCCTGTATCTTAATTGGGTACAATAAACCGATTTACAGCTATATTACGAATTAATTGACAATATACTTAATTAATTTTAACGTAGAAAGGCTGTTTTATAAGATAACGTTAACCAACAATAACGTCGCCGATTAAAAGAGTGCGTGTTTACTTAGGCATTGTCGTAAATTAGGCGGATCAACAGACGGCGAATGCGCCCATGTCTCGCCGACTCTCGCGCATTTATTCAGATTTCGTCTCGAAAATAAATTCACTAAAACGGTTCCAGCTGTTCTGTTCTTCTTTTTTTGTACCACGGTACCACGCTGCGACGACCGACTCGTACCGCATTCGTAGCGATACTTTTACCGGCTTTTGTGTTTGTTCCGTTTATTAATTCAGTTTTTCGCTGTTAAAAAAATAGAAAAATGATCGTGGATACAGAGACTGTTAACGGAAACTCTTCCTCTATCGAGAAAACTGATCAAGAACAGCAAGAAGGAAACCTTTGCAAGTTAAACCCTTCAAATAGTTCCCAAAATAACACTACCGAACCGTCTGCAGTCAAAAATAGTCTAATAGAAAAAGGAAACGATGATTCCCTAAGTGATGAGCCTCAGGAAACTGATCAGAATGATATAAACCAGCAAGAAAGTCCTGAAGAAGTCAAGAATACTTCAAATAGCTCGGAAAATAACACAGATATCAGTGAAACTGCTCAGAACGACATAACAGATCAAGAAAAGGAAGCAAGTTCTGAAGAAGTCAACGTTTGTAAGATGAACACTTCAAATAATTCTGAAAATAACACTTCTGGACCATCTGTAGTGGAAAACAGTTTAATAGAAAAAGAAAACGATGTTTCCCTGAGCGATGAGTCTTTTCAAACAGAAAATAAGACGGAAGATATCAGTGAGCAAACTGAAAATCTGGAAAATAATGTAGAGGAGACTAATAATGCTGATTTATCAGAATCCGCTCGGTTGGAGAATAGTGTAGAGCCAGAAGCCTTAAAGGAAGAAAAACAGAATGGAGATGTTGTTAATACTGAAGAAACTGCACAAAAACAAGAAGAAAACTCAGAGGTAGTTGCAGAAAATAATGTAGCAGATCCAGTAGAAACAACAGAAGTGAAGAAATCTGAGGAAATTTTGACTACTACTAACAATCAGACCAATGGCCAAGAAAAGGAACATCAAGGCAAGAAAGTCTTGAATGGAACCATTGCTAATGAACTGATTGCTGAGGACTATGAACTGCCTGAAGTCACCAAAGTCAAGAAACATTTTGAATTTTTGGAAGTTGCCAGTCACGGGCAGACACACCAACTTCCTAAAAAGGTAAATTTCAACAGGGTTATACAGGGGGGATGGTCCGAATAGTATTCGGGAAACTTCGGTAGTATATTCTGCATCAGATAAAAATAAGTAAAAAAGTTCGTATAAATCTATGTCTTAAAATGCTTCGTTTCGAAGATACAGAATACGAAAGTTTCATTTTTATTTCGTTTTTTTTTCAAATAATTTCTGAACTGTAGTCAAGATTTGGATAAAAATAGGTGTTTGAGTGTTTTTTGACATGAGGATTTTGATTTCGATGTCAATAGGACCCCTACATTTTTTTACTACTAGATTGAAATTTAAAATGCGATTTTTTTAAGAGAGAATGTCAAAAGTTGACATATGACACGTCATTCCATTCAGAGTGTCATTTTCTATGGAATAAAGTAAAAAAATACCGAGGGTGCCATTTAAAAATCAAAAGTTGTAGTCATTTCCGGTAAAACAGGAAGTGACCGAAAACAACTGAATACGTCAATCAATTCTGATTTATGACGTATACTAACGTACTAAATCTCGTTTATTTATCTGAAAAAATACAAAAGTTATAGAGGCGAGCCACTTTTGAGAAACACCCGGTATATGCATTATCATTTTTCAGCACAAGCCGCAATTTTTCTTTAACATAATCATCTTTATATCTCCTCTGGTTTACGAAATCACTGTACTGTGCATTCTTAAATGGGACACCCAGTATAAATGAATGTTTTTGTTGTGTTACATTTTTCAATCAACAGAATGTGTACATATCTTGGACTAACTAAAAAAAAGTAAATAATGTTTATTATTTCTTAGCAAATTCTTTGTATTTTTTGCTCTGTATACAGGCTATAGTGCAAAATAGTTTCAAACTTCAGAGGATCAGAATAAAAAGTAAAGATCCAACTAAAATTCTATAAAATATTTAATTTAATTGGTACAAATTAATGAAAAAATGTAACTTCTAATTATCTTTTTTTTAGTGACATCACAGCTCTTTTGTTTATTTGCAAAATCACATTACTTTTGGTGTCACAAAGTTTTACTTATTTTTGTCACCTGATTTTAAAATGTTAAATCTGTTGTAAAGATTACGACATATTCGAGAAATTTTCTGTAAAAGGTAGTAAAGTTATGAAACAAGTACAATATGTATTATGTAAACAAATAAAATTTAATATTAGTTTACATTAGTATTAAAAACTAATTAAAATATAGAGTGACACCTCTTCAAACCCAAATCTACTGAATGAACCAGTGGAGGAGTTTCTGTGCTTTCAAAAAATCCAGTGGTTCTCAAAATTTACAAAAAAATGTATTTTTTTAATTTGCAAAGTAAAATATCTCGGTTGTTTTGGACATATTTGAAAAATGGCAAAGAGAAAATACGTTTCTTTTATCGAAACCTAAAAGCACTGAAAATAATTGGACTTTTTTAAGACTCACCCTGTATAAACTTCAATTTTTGAAAAATAGTAAAAAATACTAATCAAAAAACATAATTCGATAAAAACAACGTTAAATTAATGTAGGACGTAATGATAAGTATACAGGATGATCCATTTGGAATAGAAAACCATAATTTTCATATTTTGTAAAAAGAAATGGAAAATTAAATTAATTAATTATTAAGTTCTTTCCTTAAAGGCATTATAAATAAATAAAACCACGACAAATCATTTATTTTTAGCACAAAAATATTCTTATCTCATAAAGTTTACAACATGGATTTGTGGTAAACCTTTATGTGACGTATTCGTTGATAAAGATTGTTAGCAACAGCAAATCAAATTGCATGATTCCTCCTATAATAGGGTATAAAAAAGTGCAGATTTAATGTATTACAGGGTGTCCCAGAAAAGAATTTCCAAAACTTTCAAAATTGTTTAACTCATATTCTCTATTGAGCAGAAATATGACAATCTAATAATATAATATCTGTCAAATGGTGGACATGACAATAGTAAATATAAGTTAAGAATCTTTGATCTACAGAACATTTAGACCAATCATTATAATAATTATACTAGATTTGACTGCTATTCACACGCTTCTCGAGATATTTGGAATCTGTCTTTATTACGGTCTGTCTTACGACCTGTCTTATATATTAATATTACCTATACGTATTTTTTTTTATTAGAGAACTGGCATCATTGACATATGTACAGGGTGGGTCAAATTCGACGCTTTTAAATGGAAACACCCTTTTCTATAGGAAATAGACAAAAACTAATATCGGGGTCTGGAGCTTAATTTTAGTCAAAAACATGATGGTGAAAACCGCATATCGATATCTGTTACCGTTTCGGAGTTACGGGGTGTTTCTCAAAAATATGCATTTTTAACAAATCGCTGTAACTTTTTTGCTATGGAAAATTTTGTATTTTTATGAAAATGTTTCCAAAGCACCTTTTTACGTAGAATTTAATGGTTTAAGTATAATTTTTTTAAAATTAATAATTTAAGAATTATCAACAAAAATTTGATTTTTTATATGGGACACCCTGTATATTTTTAATTTATTGAAAAGAATTTAAAATTACCTTTCCAAGAATATAACATACTTGATATTTTGCTCAATTCCTCTTCGAGACATAGAGTATATAAAAATTCGCCCTCTTTAAATAAGTAGGTTTTGAACGGCACCGGCTGTAATGCAAAAAAATTCGCACCAATTAAAACGAAAATAATATTTCCTATGAGAGATGCAGAATTTTATAACAATTTAAAATATATTTAACCAACATCAACACATTTAAACTATATCTAATAACAATAAAAATAAATAGCAAACCAAGACATGTGATTTTGCTACAGGTGTTCGACATATCGACCGTCTTCTGTTATGGACAGACGGGTCAGTTTTTGAACATTTCTCGCGGAATTCATTAACTCGGTAGGGGTGAAAGATACCCCCTCATAACTTCTAAGTATTTTTAATTCTTGTCTAGATTATATGGAAGAATAAGGAACCTTCATTCTTCCGCAAATATATGCATAGGATTAGATCCATGGGCACTAAGTTAGGCTGCCTCGACGGCCAATGGCTGGGATCTTGGTTAGCTATTCGATTATTCTTGAAATTGGCTGCAAAAATTTGCTGATAACTTCAGCGTTTAAAGGCGGTGCGTCGTCTTGCTGGAAATATAATGTTTTCGAGTTCCATTAAGGACATATCATCAATAAGGGGTCCAAAGCCTACTAGTTAAAAGTGGCGAACTTTTAAAAATTCTGTATTTTGAAGGGGATTATAACAAAATATCAAGTGTGCTATATTTTTGGAAAGGTAATTTTAAATTCTTTTCAGTTAATTAAAAATATATAGGGTGTCCCAAATAAAAAATCAATTTTTCTGTTGATAACTCTTAAATTATTAATTTTAAAAAAATTATACATAAACTATTAAATTCTACGTAAAAAGGTGCTTTGGAAATGTTTTCATAGAAATACAAAATTTTTCATAGCAAAAAAGTTACAGCGATTTGTTAAAAATGCACATTCTTGAAAAACACCCCGTAACTCCGAAACGGTAACAGATATCGATGTGCGGTTTTCACCATCATGTTTTTGATGAAAATTAAGCTCCAGACACCGATATTAGTTTTCGTCTATCTCCTATAGAAAAGGGTGTTTCCATTTAAAAGCGTCGAATTTGACCCACTCTGTACAATTTATTAAAGATTAGACTGAAATCATAAATTTAAAATGATTTTGTGCCAAAAATTGAACAGAAACTGTTTTATCATCATTTGTTCGAAGAAAAATGTATAATTAATTAAAAAAAATGAAAAGTTCCCAAATTTATCGTTTCAGTCAGGTAACTGTTTACTCACTTGTTAATTTTATTGTCAATAATAACATGTATTGACTATTTCTATTCTAAATATCTTGAGAACGGTTGCTCGTATCAATTTTTACCAAGAGACATTTTTTACATAAAAAAATACGGAAATATACACATTTTCACTCAGTAGTTTTATACAGGTACGGACGAAAAGTTATTACTCTTTAAAACAGTTAAAACACATGTAGGTGGCGCCCCCTATAAATAGGAGTCATATTAACATCAAAATCAAATTTCTTATGTCAAAGAACTCCTAGACACCAATTTTCATCCAAATATTGACGTTACTTCAGAAATTATTTGAAAAAAAAATGGAAATAAAATGAAACTTGTATACCCTGTATATCTGTATTAAACATTTTGGGACATACATGTATGCGAACTTTCTTACTTATTTTTATCTGCAGAATTTGCTGCCAAAGTTTCTAGAATACAGTTTGGATGAACAAGGATAATATCTGAATTTGGTCCACCCTGTATAATCTTTTTTTAAGAAATAATCACCTAATTTTGTTCGCACTGATTCTTTTATAATATGTAATATGTTTTTCCTGCAAATTCCTTTTCAAAATATGAAAATGAGCATACAAAAAACCGATGCGTTTCAAAGAATGTAACAAATTAAATAGCTTTAAAAAAAATCTTTATTGATAAGAAAGTTCCGAATGATAAACAGCGTCCAGTTGGCTTGGAAATGAAACTCGATGATATTACATATTGAAGGGTCGAGGGGAAAAGCATGATAAGCGCCATTTTACTAATTTTACAGGAGAGCACTGGACGGCTGGTGGTTATCAGGTTCTTTCCCTGTATTCTATATTTTTACTAGGTATATCATAGAATTTAACAATATATGGCCCTGCATAGTTACATTTTCATGTTTTAGTATACGTTTTGTAGGGACCATAGAATAACTAACTGAAAGAAATGAAAACTCCTATGTTAAAGCCTGGAAACACGCGCTCGACGCTATCCAAGCGGGCTACTGGCAGAAGCAATACGTAATA